TATATATATATATATATATATATATATATATATATATATATATATATATATATATATATATATATATATATATATATATATATATATTGAAGTATATTTCATTAAGAAGTTATTTAAAGCATGTTCGTTGTTACAATTCACATAAATATTATGAGATATAAATATCTATCTCGACTTACCATACATTGTAACATGCCTCTTGTCGGCGTCAGAAAAATGCTTCTTATCATTCGCAAGATCAGTGACTCTGCACCTGATGCGGAAGAAAGTATTTATTTTTTGTCCTAAATGAAAATCTGCCTTCCTAATTAGCTTTTGACCTCCAAGGCTCTCTCTGGACTCCGGTTGATACATAAATAAAGCTAAATTACTTTCTCCGTCAGCGACGAGAAAACCTAGATTTGTATTATCAATTAAATATTCTATCGTGTACACTTCTGCGGGTCTGAAGTCCTGTAACAATATAGATACATACATTTTATATAGATACATACATTTTATATGTGTTTGTTTAAATATATACACACACACAACCTGTATATATACACATACACACACACATATACATAATATCGATATTTAAACCAATTTAAATAATACTCACTCTACTAACAAGAGAGAGTGTCCTGTACTCTTCCTGAAATCTTAACAAACTAATTGATTTATATACATCAGCTATCAGAATTAGGCTTTTAATACTTAGCATTTGATGAATATAGATCTGGGTATCAATAAATGCAACTCCAACAAGATCATTATCTTTTAATTGCCAAATATAAATCTGCAATAAAACAATATAATATTTAAACTGTTTATTATAGATATGTAATTTTTAAACATTTTTATGAATTAAAAGAAATATACCTTCTGACCTACAGCTGAGACTAAAAATCCGGATACTTGCGTTATAGCAGTTATTGGGCCTTTTTGTTCTTTTGCATAAATCTGCTTAAATCTATTTTTTGTTAATGGTTGGCCTGGTTCAGGTACTACTTCGATGATATCGAATATAAGTATCTGCGAATTGGAAAATAATATAAAATAATTATCAGTAAGAAAAATCCGTAAAATTTTCAACCGAAAAGTAAAACTTACTCGTCCTCTACTAGTGATATCTTCGCCGTAATTGTAATTCGTCCCCAATACTATATAACCCTTCAAACCAGATCTTGTTCCTTCATATGCTAGTGAAACATTTTTCAGACAAGTGACATGTTCCCATTGATCTAATTCAATTTTTGTATTGGGAATAGTTTCCCACGAAACTGGAGAGAATAACACGATGCAAAATTGTTCTTGAAATGGATAAAGAAATCTTTCCGGACGCTCCTCTTCTGTGAATTCCTGTTTAATAATGACGCATTTCTTAAGATGCGTTTGTAAAAATATATTTTAAAATCTATATCAAAATAATTCAATAGACAAGTACTGATAAAAATTATAAAAAATTAATAAAATATTAATTTTGCGACAATAAAATGATGTATATGCTGCAGATATATATATAATATTTTTATTCATACCTTGTCTTCACCATTGAATCTGTAATAGCTTTTCAAAGGTTCCGCTGTACTTGTTATGACACAATAAGTTTTGCTCTCGAGATGATACGTAACGAAATGCGGTGTACATCGCAAAGGTACTTTTCTAACTGGCCAAGGTGCATCGTAAGACAAATGAGTCGGTAGAACGCATATTCTTAATTCTTCCTAGTATTTGAATAAAATAAAATTTAGTCGCAGAGAAAATAATAGAGAATGAGTTATTCAAAGCTTCTTATGATCAACTTTTATCGCTAATAGTTTAAGAAAAATTGATATAACACCTTGTATATATATAGCTCAAAAAACAATACAATACCTTTCTATTAAAGTATAGAAAGCCTTGCGGACAATTAATGTTATTAAAAGCAGCAAAAGACGTAACAGAGCCGTCAATACCCATTGGATGCGTTCGAAGTTCACCGCGCCCTGTTAAAAATATCCAATGTGGATAATCGCTGCATATGAACACTCCATTGTACCCAGCGATATTGCTGAAATAACGCATCATACAGATGCGAGTTTCACTCGTATTTATTGACATATCTTCTTCTTTTGGTTTCCGACTGTGAAAACAAAATTCAGTTAAATATTGTGTAAAAATATTTTGAGCTAAATATCATACAACAAAAGGAAGAAAAATATTATAGTGGAAAACAGCAGAATTTCGACAAAAATAAATATTAAATATAAAATTCATTTTTTGAAATATCATCTATATAAGAGATCGAAATTATTGTATTAAAAATTTGATCAGATCATAATCATGCAAACCTTAAATGTCCTGGGATAATCCCATGATCCAATTTCTTAAACCTCAGTTTTAGATGCCCTTTTGGATACTTGTAAGCTTGATAAATTTGCAATTCCGAGTCGAGACGTACCAAAAGCATAGGTCGGTTTCCATGATGTCCCAGAGCGACCATCAGAACTTCACGTACCTACAGAAATACATATATTTATTAATTTCAAATGACGCTAAATTTAATATATATAACACTTTATATAACGCTCAACAATTGTATCAAAGAATACAGATAATACCTGCATTTCGGGGTTAATGGTTTCATTGATTGGTGCCGATTGCAGAGTCGTGGATTCCATGCTGTCGTGTAGCACGTATTGACCGTAGCCGAAATTGCGAATGAGATAAGACAAACGTAAGTCGGGTAACGAATAAATCTCTAGAGTTCCGCTGTCTCTATAGACGAGTAACCAGTAAGTAGGCTTAATTTCTTGCAAGTGTTTTTGCCACCTGTTGCCATGGATTCATATTAAAACGGAATTTGTGTTTAATATTATATACACACTTAAAACTAAAGAAAATTTACCAAGGTATTTTTTTTGTGGTTCCATCCGTTTTTGGATACGACGGTGTGGGCATTTGAAATGCTGGTACGTCACCGTACAATAGATCATCCTCATTGTCGATATTGCCAATTATTGATGGTTCTTCTACATTGTGCTCTTCTTCAGTTTGTTCGTCCTCCGCATTCTCGGACAACTGTGTCGTAAAAATCCCGCTTACATCTCTGTAAGCGCATAACGCCTCTATTTGGGGACGCTGTTATATGGATACAGAACATTTTAGATTAAGAAACATATTTTACATAACATTTATGTATTAGTTCTTGAATGTTGCATTTTTTTGCGATATTCCAATCTGATATATTAGATTCACGTATATCTACTTAATTTTCTTTTATATTCAGACATGTATACATGAAAAAATTAACTATGAAATTTGTAATTTTTTACATAATTTGATATAATTAAAAAATATAACTGGAGTTTTAAAGTAAATTTTACCTTATTAAAAATACCTTATTTTAATAATTATAGATTATCAAGACTTAAAAGCGATTTTTTTTTAGACATGAGTGATTCGAATGTATGATCTAAAGATTAATTCCAATATGAATAAAACAACTCACAAACAATAAATTTGCAGCCTGAGCGTGCAATTTTGCTGTGCCTCTAACTTCTCTGAGCGTCAGCAGCATCACTTGTCCATCTTCCGAAAGCAATGTTACATATGGGTCGGCACAACTTGCATGTACAATTGGGCAGCCAAGATCTATGGGCATATGTTGAATCTGTAATGAAGAATTAAAAAATGATATATTCACATGTGTATATTAATATATATATATATATATATATATATATATATATACATTCCAACAAAATTCACAAAATACGATTTTACTTAGAAGTTAATGTACATACTTGTTCAATGCCTTGCAAAAGACGTACTCCCATTTGAGTGACTTGTACTATATATCTATTGGCACCAAGATTTCCAGCAAATACTGTACTCCCTTGTGTGCTAAATCCGCTTTGATCTACTTCATTGATTTCTTGACCGGTTTGCAGTATCTTTAAATAAAATAACAAATAGATATTTTCAAGTATTAATTATTATATAACATTTATAAGTTTGGTGCAAGTCTTGCAAATTTTGGTATATGGTAAATACTTCATTAAAGCTTTATCATAGTAAAATTTGTACTGCAATTTATATCATATAAAAATATTTGCATACAGAACTTTTGAACATATATGTTAGTCTAAAAAAATTTACAATATAATTCTCTTTTAACTATCATATAAATGAAAATATACATTATAATACCATAGTCGAATCGTCTTGACTCAATATTAAGAAAGCATGGGATCCTTCTGTTTCTGATTTGATTTGCTCGTCATTATTTAATGAACCAATAACAGTCCACATATCCTCACAGCCTGGCAATTCAAACGTTGTCACAACCTATTTTCAATAAAAAAAAAAGAAAATTATTTTTAACATTTCCATGTACAGTATCAAAGGCTAAATTAGAATTGTGAATTATTGAATAAAAATATTTAAATGAAAACAGAGTTAAATTAGTTATCAATTATATACCTGAGGACGTATAGAACTTTGGAGTACACATAGCGCACCGTTTTTACCGTATCCAGACGTCGTCACGAGCTCTACATCGGGATTTTGATTGTGTGCAAATTCTTCTGACAAAAAAGCTGGTTCTCCCATGGAGATATTTCCACAAGGTCCAATATTTAATAAACTGTCGCACACCTACAAATAAAAAATAAGTACTACTACTGATAAAAATAAACAGAATTAACAATTAAAATACAGGCTTAACTTTTAATTAGAAAGAAAAATTATATAATTTTTTTTAAATACAATATATTGTGATATGGCTAGAGAGAGAATAAAGTTCTAGAAATTTTAAAAGTTAAACCAAGATATATTACATAAGAGAAGATTCCAATACCTCAAAAATATATGATGTGATTTGAATAGATGTATGCGTTTCACTGCCATACACTTCCAATTCTTCTGGATCTTTAATGTCTAACACATCAGATGCCATCCAGTCACCGAGGAAGTCTTGTTTTGCCTTTTTAGCTGGGGTTTCCTCGTTTTCGTTATCCTCGATGCTGATCTCGCCGTCATTCAGACTTCTTATAGTTTCAGGTTCTTTCTCCGTGAATCGTAATAATAACGAATTACCGAGTCGAGATCCGAGAAAAAGATAATTATCCTCGCACATACACACCTTTATAACAAAAGTAAATACAAATTATGGGGAAAATTTAAATTTATTCTGATTCATGTTGAATTAAAGTAAAATGGTAAGTATGAATACTTACACATGATGTTAATACACTAGCGGCAGCCTTGTCAAAATGGAATCCACGTACAGATCGCATACTGTCAGCAAACAGGGATAAAACATACAATTCTCCGCTTTTCAGGGAAATGACTAAACGATCTGTAGACAAAAATGCAACCTGAGCTCCTTCTAAACTTATCTTCACTCCATCTTGTGGTTCTATAAAAATAGAAATAAGTAATGATATACTTAGCAATTAAGATACTTTATATGTCAGCATTATTAGAAATATATCTTACTTAATGGGAAATTTGTACTCGTATCTGCCAAACTGTTAAGTGATACTCCATAAGGTGGTATGCTCTGGTTCAGATAAACAAGTGAATTAACAGCCATTATCAATGTACCACCTAGTGGTTTTTTCACAGGGACAGCTTGATAACAATCAAATGGTAAATTAGAAACAGACCAAATAATAGGATGGACTCTTTGCTGAATGTTCAAGGATATAGCAACCATTGCGCAAGTATCCTGTCTTACTGCAATACGCCTGTGTATAAGAATTAAAATTTTATTTATCAACATTATATCATTATACATATATTTGGGTTTTTATGAGAGATTAATTCTTACCCTGAAAATGTTCTTACTGGTTCATACAAAATTAATAATGTAGGCTCATAATATCCATGCAGAAACTGTAAATCTATCACATTATCCATCTTTTCTTCTAGTGTTTTTAACACTATCATATATGAAGATAAGATGGGAGTTTTATTGGATGATGCAAACTTTGCAGTATCAAGCAGATCACCATCATCCAAACTAGGATCTTTACGAAATGGTAATACTACCAATTTTCTACCATATATTAACATTACAGCACATCTTCCTTCAGGATCTACTCTTACGATAGGTATATGATGATGATTTGTCCACCCATCCTAGCCATATACAAATAAAAGATTCATGCAATTTAAATTTCAAAATATCTTTAAAATGTATATATTAAGATACAAAATTGCAAAAAATATACAAACTTTGAGAAGTATAAAGATATTAAATCTTCAACTTTCAGGGTTAATTTTACATAAATGTCCAAAAACAAAATATATAAATTGTTGAAGAAATAATTGGGTTTATAATGAGTTATTTATAATTTAAACTACAATATCTACATATAGAAAACATATAGTAATTATAAAACTCAAATTAAACTTTTACCCTTATTTCTTCTTCTTCAAAATAATGTAAAGATACAGTCCTTAAATCATGAATGTCTTGATCATATTCCACAACAGACAATTTTGCATCACGGAAACTCAGTAATAAAGAATCCCTCTGTGATCCAATAAGATGAACAGCCTGCATAGACATGATGTTTCCATGCAAAGTATATTGTGCCAAACATTCTAGTTTCATTTTAGGAGGACGTGATTCTGTAATTAAATTTATTTTTATATTTATATTTAAATCAATAAAAAATATATAAGAACTGAGATATATGAACTTATGAGAAATATGAACTTTTTTCATGTATTTATTATTGTTTCAAATATTTAAAAAATTCAATTAAACATACTCTGTCAAGTTTTCTTTTTTATTGAAAAATTATAAAAATACATGTGACCAAGTGACACATTTATTTATGTGTTTAAATAAATCAAATTACGACAAAATGGCATATACAATTGCTTTTGATTTTAATACAATCTTTTGAAGATGTAGAATCTACTGAAAATTGAAAATAGAGAAACTCACCTATATATTTCTCTTTCTTTGTCACATCGATATCCGGAATTAAGCGAAAAACACGTATAACATTTGCACCGGCAACAACAAGACATTTTTCAGTACGATTGAAAAAATGGCAAGTGATTGCGTGTTCAACTCCGGTTGCAGGATGAGTACTTTTACATATAGAATACATAGTGAAAAGTACGGTAATCACTTACAATCTGCTGTGGATGTTTATAGAAAAAATTAGGTTATATCAGGTTCAACATGTACTAAAAGTACGTGTCTATAAATATTTAGTATAAAATACACGTAATTTTTGAACGAAAAAAGAATATATATATATATATATATATGTATGTATATATAAACGGAAAATATGTTATCAATTAGAACAAGAATGTTAATATTGGATAACCAAGGAAATCCATTAATTCATTCTGCTACTTCGATATTAGCCGGTAGCAAAGATGTAACAAATCTACTTTACAACTGCACTTTCTGAACTATCTTGCAATCTTCTTATTTTCTTCTCTCTTTTCCACTAACATCGAATGTATGGGTACGTTCCGAAATCGATTTTGGAAACTGTTAGAGGATTCACATTATACCCGACGGGAATGGTTCAATTGCCCAAGGTTCATTTGCCCATCACCAATCACAACCGTATGTGATTTTCTAGTGTTGGCCAATTAATGTAGCTGTGTGGGCAATATGAGAACTAAAAATCTATAGTTCATGTTACGTATACTATAGTCCTGTCCTTTGTAGTTGCACTGCTGAACTAATGCAATAAAGCCAGCGGCACACGATGCTTGTTTTCATGCTGGATTGCTTGCTGGATGGAAATACCTGTTCTGATTGGTGCATTTCTGAAGACGGACCAATCAGAATAGAGTATTTACATCCAGTAAGCAATCCAGCACAAAAACAAGCATCGTGTGCCACTGGCTTTAGAGTAATGGCTTCTGCCCACAGGACACGGCAACACTTGCCGCGCGGCGGAAGTTCGTGCGACAGCCAATCAATATGCTGCTTTCTGTAATAACTTTCTAGCTCTTACGGAAAAACAACATATTGATTGGCTGTCGCGCGGACTTTCGCCGCGCGGCAAACATTACCGCGTCCTGTGTGCAGGAGCCATAAGAAAACATATTTTAGCGTGTTCGACTGGTCCTGGGTTAATTGCTCCGAGAGCGATTAATGACGTCATAAGTCTCTACTAGCCAATCATAAAACTTATAAGTACTTTGTTCGACCAATAAACGTAGGTTGAATAACTCAAAGTGGGTTAACTCAGAGCCAGTCGAATGCTAATAAAATAACGTTTGCGAGCGTTGCGAACGTGTAACGGAACGCGCTTTATATTGCACAGTCTACCAGTACAAAAAACGGGTTTTATAAAATTTCAGCACTGGCAGTGAATTTCGGAACGCAGCTCCAATAGTAGAGTTCAGGGTTGGGACATTTGACAAATTCTAGGGTTTTTTACATTATATGTAATATACATGTATATTACGTAAAATATGTAAAAAACGTATATATATGTATAAAATATAATATATATATATATATATATATATATATATATATATATATATATATATATGTATAATATATATGTATAAAATATATAATATAATATATATGTATAAAATATATATTAGGACCTTAACTTAGTTTCCGCCCGCAAATGTTAGATGGC